GCTCTTCCTTTCACACTACAGCACACGTGCAAAGCCCTTCCTTCATGTTCTCATGGAGGGGCGGGGTTAGAAAATTTTTTTAATTGGGGAACAAATTAATAATTTCAAAAATAGCCTCAATCTTTTTTATCTAGATTGAAGATTGATATTGACTATTTTACCTTTTTGTTAATAGAAAATGCTAAAAATATGTTAACAAAAAATAATATCTAAAATCAGTTTATTATAAATGGTATAATCAATTTATTAGATATTGTAACATAAAAAAAAATTTAATAATTTTTAAACTCAATATACCTAAGACTTATGAATTTTATTAAATGCATATGTATACATATTTTTATTTATAATATTATTTAATGAACATATCTTTTAAAGGAGATTGATAGCTTAGGTTTTAAAAAGCTTAGATTTTAAACTTTGGTATTAAGGTACGAGTTGCATTATAAATGGTGTAGATGATATTATAGATTAGTATTTAAAAAATAATGTTGCAAAAATTAATAGAACTGGAGATAGAATTATATGTTGAAAAAAAAATTTTAATGTCAAAAAATGCTTATGCCCCTCTCAAGTAGGTTTAGATATGGATTCAAAAGAAAGATTTTGGAAAGACCTAGAGGAACTAATACAAATGATACCTCTTGAAGTAAGAATTTTTATTAGAGAAGATTTAAATGGACATGTTGATAGAATGGTAGAAGATTTTAGAAATATTCATTGTGGATACGATTTTGGAGTGATTAATGAAGAAGGTAAAATCATATTAAATTGTTTGTGTTTGATTTTCTTATTTCTAATACTTTATTTAAAAAAAGAGATGAACATATTATTAGTTATAAGAATTGATCTAATAAAATACATATTACTTTCTTATAAGAAAAAGAGATCGTCGAGAGCGTAAAGATTGTAAGGTCATTATAAGTGAAAATTTAAGTACTCAACATCGATTATTAGTTCTAGATTTTAAGATAAAGAGTTATAAAGATATGGAATATAAGGAAATGTTATAACAGAATTAAATGAAGGCACCTAAAAGACTTATAAAATTATTTTTATAAGTGAACTTCAAGATTTTAAGATTTGGGATGTTCATAAAGAAGTGAGATCTAAGTGGGATAAAGTAGCAAGCACTATTAAACAAGTGGCAAAAGACATACATGGAAAATCAAGGGGAAAAATTTTTATAAATAAAATGGTGGAATAATAATCTACAAAAAATAGATTTATTTTGAGATTAATGTTTGTTGAGTCCTTAGAAATGGTTTAAATGGTTTAAATGTAAAAGTTTAGAGAACTAGGAAAAATATAAGGTGGTCCATAGAGAGTCTAAGAAAACAAATTTGTGATGCTAAAAATTATGTTTTTAGTGATCTTTATAATATATTAGATACTAAAGATGGTGAAATATATATGTATAAACTTGTCAAACAAAGAGAAACAAAAAGTAAAGATTTAATTCAAGTAAAGTATATTAAAGATGAAAATCAAAAAATATTTTTCTTAGATAAAGATATTCAATATAGGTGGGTGAACAATTTTGATTAACTTTTCAATAAAGTTTATGAAAATATGATCGACCTTAATGATCTTAATATCATTAGTAATAATAAAACGTTTTATTTTTATCATCACATTAATAAAAAAAAGTTGATGAGGCTTTAAAGAAAATTAAGGATGAAAAATCAATAAGACCTAGTAATATCCCAATTGAAGTGTAGAAAATTTTACGAGATTTGAGAGTTTATTAGCTTACTAAACTCTTTAATATTATTTTAAAAACTAAAAAAAGATGTTTGGGTGGAGAAAGAGTATTTTGATCCCTATTTTTAAGAATAAAGAGGATGCATAAGAGTGTGCAACTTATAGACGAAGTAAATTGATATGTCATACTTTAAAATTATGGGAGAAGATGAACATAGGTTAAGAAGTGATACAAAGATTTCTCATAATCAGTTTGGATTTATGCATGCAGGTCTACTATGGAAGTTATACATTTATTGAGAGGTTTGATAGAGAAGTACAGAGAGATTAAGGAGGTGTACATATGATTTTTATTGATATAGTAAAAGCTTACGATAAAATTCCAAGAGAAGTCCTTTGGAGAGTTCTAGAGAAGAAAGGTGTTGATATGACTTATATTCAAGTCATTAAAGATATGTATACTAGAGTTGTTACTTGTATTCAAACAAAATGAGAATTTACCAAGTATTTTCCTATTTTAGTTGGACTACTTTAGATTTCAACTTTAAGCCCATATCTTTTTTCTTTAGTTATGGATGTTGTTACTAGATATTTACAGGATGAAGTACATTGGTGTATGCTTTTCCCCGATGATGCCCTTCTTGTGGATAAGACTAGAAAAGCGTTCAAGAAAAATTTGAATTATGGAGGTCTACATTTGAGACTGAAAGCCTTCGTTTGAGTAGCTCAAAAACCGAATAGATGGAATGTAATTTTAGTAATAGTAGCTCTAGTGGCAGAGTTGTAACTATGGGTGATCAAATCTTTAAAAGGTGTGAACGTTTTAAATATCTCGGGTCTATTATTCAAAGTGATGGTGATACAAATGCAGATGTTATTAGTAGAATTCAAATTGGTTTGTTGAAGAGGAGGAATGCATCGGGCCTATTATTTGATAGATAAACACCGGTTAGACTGAAAGAAAAGTTTTATAAGATGATGGTGAGACCTAGAATGCTCTATGGCGCAGCATGTTGGCCTTTAAAAGATAAACATAAAAGAAAGTTGAGTGTTGCTAA